ATGGAGTTTTTTCTGCACAATCCCACTTGCCAAATGCCAATTCAACACGATTTAAGTTTGAAAACTTAGCAATACGAAGAGAAAAAAGGTTCAAACTTCTACTAAATTTTAACTCATTTAAAATTTAATCTATGAACTTTAAATTTGATTTTTAAAATCCCTAAGGTTTTAATTTTTTTAAGATTTATTTTATCTAATGACTTTCAATTATCACTTTCCCTTTTAAAAAAATACAATTCGTGGTATTTTAACTTGAAAGTTTACACACATATTATGAAATATTCAATATATTTTCTAGAAAAAATTCAGAATTTTTCAAAATCAAAAACTATATATTTTTCATTTTTTTAACATTAAAATTATAAAAAAAATTGAGAAAAAAAGAAAATAATCCAAAATGATCCCAAATCTTGTTAGGAGCCCTATATAAATCTCACTAATGATTTATATCATGAATATATTCATGTGATGTGTTATTTTTCATGATAAATGATAGAAAACTGAATAATTGACCAAATATCAAAAACTTAAAAGTTCAAGGATCCTAAAAATCAAATTTGAAGTACAAATACTCAATTTCAAATGACTTAAAGTTCAAAAAATGTTTAATCTATTTAGTGATATTTTTAGGAACAAAATTTATTTAGTAGAAAAGACAAACGAGAGAAACAATTTCGTAACCGTTTTGCTTGAAATAGGCTATTTTTTTCTTGGTATGAATGTTTAATTGAATAATGTTTTATAGCTTAATATGTAAAGTTAGAACTAATATAGAATATTTCACACTCTAGGATATCATTTGAGGTAAATAGGTCAATTTGTTTTATACAAACGTTTGAGTCTTTCATATGTTTTTGAGTTCTTAATTGTATTTCATTTCTTTTTGAAAGTTTTTAAAATATTCAATCTGTTTTTCTGATCAATATTTTCTATCATGGATAATTTTTTTTATCAAAATTTCTTTTACTAAAATGCATAAAAAATACACTTAAAGTCATATGACTTGTATGTTCCATTTTTTAAGTCCTTATAATTTTATTTATTTATTTATTTATTATTATTTCATTTCAATCAAAGAAATTTTGATAAAAAAAAATTATAGTAAAAAAAAAATTGATCGGAATAACAGATCAAACATTTTCAAAATTTTCGGAGACATACGTAAAGCTCGGTGTATTATATAAGGACAAATTAAGTTATTTATCTATAACATCTCGCATGGATTTGTTTTTTGATTTTTCACATTTGAGGTATTTTTGAATAATGTTTTTATATCATAAAACTAAATATTTATCTATATATTAAATCTTAAGTAAGCTACTCATACTCAAATTAGAGGGTTTATAAAAATAAAAATAAAAAGTTCATAACTCATTTTTTTATTCCAACCCAACTTCGGCATTCCACATAAACAAATGAGGGAGTTTTTTTTGCTCAACCCCACTTGCCAAATGCCAATTCAGAATGATTTGAGTTTGAAAACTTAGCAATGAAGGAAAAAAGAAGAAGTCTAATTTCTGTTGAATTTTAACTCATTTAAAATGAAATATGTGAACTTTAAATTTACTTTTTAAAATCCATAAACTTTTAATTTTTTAAGACTTATTTTATCTAATGACTTTCAATTATTACTTTCCCTTCTAAAAACTACAATTGATGGTATTGTAAGTTGAAATTTTACAAACATATTAGAAAAAATTCAATCTATGTTCTAGAAAAAAAAATCAGAATTTTTCAAAATTAAGAAAAATAGAAAATGATCCAAAGTGATCCCAAATTTTTTAGGAGCCCCGTATAAATCTCCCCGAATGACTTTCATCATGAATATATTTATGTGATTGTTAATTTCTTTATGATAAATGATAGAAAACTGGATGATGGACTAAATATCAAAAACTTAAAAGTTCAAATATCCTAAAAATCAAATTTGAAGTACAAATACTCAACTTTAAATGACTTAAAGTTCAAACGGTGTTTAAACTATTTAGTGGTATTTTTAAGAGAACAAAATTTATTTAGTAGAAAAGACAAATAAAGAAAAAAAAATTGTAACCGTTTTTCCGATATAGGTTATTTTTGTCTTAGTATGAATGTTTAATTGAATAATGTTTTACAACTCAATGTAAAGTTAGAACTAATATAGAATATTTCACACTTTGGGATATCATTTGAGGTAAATAGGTCAATTTTTTTTTTCTATAAAATTTTGAGTCTTTCACATGTTCTTGAGTTCTTAATTATATTTCATCTATTTTTGAAAATTTTTAAAATATTCAATCTGCTTTTTTATCAATTTTTTATGTCATGGATAAAATTTTTGACCAAAATATTTTTTTTTTAATAAAATGCATAAAAAAGTACACTTAAAGTCATATGACTTGTATGTTCTATTTTTTAAGTCTTTAGAATTTTATTTCTTTATTATTATTATTTCGTTTCAATCGAGGACATTTCGATCATAAAAAATTTATAATCCAAAAAAATTGATCGAAATGATAGATTGAACCTTTTAAAAATTTTAGAGACGTATAGAAGTATTAGTATATTATACAAGGAGAAGTTAAGTTATTTACCAATAGAATTTGCATGGATTTTTTCTTTTGATTTTTTACATTCGAGGTATTTTTGAATAATGTTTCGTATCATAAAACTAAGTATCTATATAATAAATTTTCAATAAACTATTCACATCGAATTAAAGTGTTTATAAAAATAAAAATAAAAGTTATAAAAATAAAAAGTTCATGACTTTTTTATTTTTATTTTATAAACACTTTTTTTCTCCGTTCCAACCCAAACACAATAACATGAATATATTTTATTTAATACATGAGGTAATATTTTAATTATTTTTAATTTGATGATAAGAGTATTTTCGTATCAATTTGCATATCAGTCAAAACTAAGTTCTTTTTCTTATTTAATACATAAGTTAATATTTTTTTAATTTGTTGTTAAGAGTTTTTTTTTTTTAATGCTCAATGGAGTTGTAATTGAACATTAAATTCGTCATTACCTAAAAGAAAGTCCATCCTTGTTCCTATTTTCCTCATAGGCCGAATGGGTTCCTTTTAGGAAAGCCCTCGGAATTCATTGCTTTACTTCTAAGTCATGCTTTCCAAATCTATACCAAGTATAATTTAGGTCCAACCAAATTCGATCCATGCCCCCCCCCCTTTTTTTTTTTATCTATCCATACATATCTACGCATCAACCATTCATCACATCACAACAACCATACTAGATCCATCATAAAGCATCAAAACATAACATCAACACAAACAACCATGACAACATAGTACATAGTCTAAAACAAAACCTCAAAAATTGTACATTTAAAATAGAACTTAAGGCATAAATTAAGCTAAAATGAAACCTACTTACATACCTTTCTTACTTGCATAGTAGGTTCCATATATATACTAGAGAAAAGGAACATTAATTAGCTAAATCACTTGAAAATTCGTCCTCTAATAAAATCACCAAAACATTAAAATGGCACACAAATCACACCCTTGCTCAATATATTTATGTATGAATATCCTTGTATGTATATTTATATGGTTAAAAACTTTATAGGGGTTACACAATTTATGAGTCAATCAAAACTAAATTTCTTCGTAAACAATTTTAAAGACTAAGTCACTTCTTGAGCGATTTTAAAAATGCATTCCTCACGTCAATCTTGTCTATTCAAATGAATTTACTGAATTCTCCTAAATGTTGGCTTTAAAAAATGAACTAAATAAATATATTCTTACCCACTAAGTTAACCTCGTAAGATTAATTAACATTTTAAATTCTACCGCTTGTATGTATATATCCCCAATCTTCATTACCCTCATCAGTTTTTAGACTCTAAGCCAATTTTAGTGGCAAATCTATATCTTTCAAAATCATGGTTGGTGGCAAGCCTTGAATTGGTAATTGGAATCCACCATTTTATACAAAACTAGCAATACCCTTACCACTCTAAGGCTCAATTGGAAAGTAGAGCACAAAAAATCCACCATATATGAAAACATTTATTTTCTTGCGGCAAAATTCAAAATGACACAGATATTATCCTATACACTTAGTCATCATCTATATCTGATATTATCCTATCCAAATCATGACTCGTTTTTTAACCGTAAAGATATTTTTGCACCAACTTTACAAACTAATGTATACACTATTAGTTTCTTTTCAATTAAGTCCTAAGTATGAACTACTCGAGATGAGATCTGCAACGTTTTGTTCGTAAAAAAGGTGTGTTAAGAGGGAAAACAAAACATAGAGCTAGTTTTATTGATTATATATTCATAACCACGCCAAATAAATCAAATTCGAGATATATTTACGACCTATTTGTGACTTGTGAGAACATAATTTTCAGTTCAAGATCTTTACAAACGTCCTAAGTTTGTCTATATAGGTCATTTTCCACAATTTCCCAACAACATGAGCCTGCTAATTTTAACCTGAGGACTCTTTTTTTATTTATTTAACTCGAGACAAATACTACTTAAATCGTTTTGGGCCTAAGTTACCGCTAGTTTACGATTGGAAAATTTTAACCGAATGAAAAAATGACTTGAGTTTCAAAATTATTTATAACAGTCATTTAATTTTTTTTATTTAACAGTAAAATATTCTCAAACTAGCTTTTGTTGTGTATGTATATGAGAATTTTATCCTCTGAATCGCAATAATAACAGTTTATCAGCGCAGTACTTCAATTATTGTTTTTTTTATTATTATTATTGTTATTAGTAATTGGATGGGTATTTGTATTGTCCATGATGTGCATGGTGTAAAACATCTTGTTTAGATAATTTTCTTTGCGATAAAGATGGCATAAAATCATGATGTAAGAAATCGGTTTTCATTACAAAAATCAAATCTATTATCGAGGAAAAAAACCCCATGATTGGATAGTTTTTTCCTCCTGTGTGGGCTAATTAAAACAACAGTAAAAAAGATATCTCCTCATTTCTTAAGAGGCTAGCTTGTTGCACCTAACAGCCACTGGAGAAGGATAGATCCATAGCCTTTGAAGCACTTCCTTCATTATCTCCACGCACAAGGAGACGAAGCAAGGCTGCATTTCTGCCAGCAGGAGGATGCATTTTGCCTTTGAAAACTGGATTATCTGAAATAAATTTCTTAAGTGCATCCATCATGTAAATCCTTTCTATCTTCACATCTCCATATCGGCAAAGTGCTCCATATTTCCTACATAAAAAATCAATTGTGAACAATTAAACGTGTATCAGTTGAAAATAAGCATGCATAAGATAATGTGAATTAATTTTATTGAAAGAACATTATATTCTTCCCCAAATCACCTTTTCAAATCTTTTTGGTAAAATATTCTCTGTAAATTAGCATTATTCGCAAACATATAGACTTGATTTCATATATAATAGCGTAGAATTCACACCTAAAATCTTCCATTGTCAGAAGCACGGTGGCGTCCATGAGCAACTTTTCATTATAGTTCGAGAAATCTTTGAAATCCTTCATGAGAATTTCAAGGGCCTTGGGACGGTCTTGCCTGTCACACATAAGATCCTCTGTGATTAATTAAATGCAAGGCTCAATAAAATTTAGAAGAACTAAACAATTATAAACGCAAAACGACATATGATATATATCTCGTGTAGTACACGCAGATCGCATCAATATATAATTAGATTTATCATACGTACGTGTGTTACATGTACGACTAAATAAGTCAATATCATCACTTGTAAGTTGCGAGTGTTATTAATTATCATTTCTTGATTTGACATTAAATTAAAAGTTTTTATACCTGTCTAATGCCTCGAGAAATTTTTGTTTCCTTAGTTCAAAAAAGATCCTGGTAGAATCCAAGTTCTCATGCACATTAGTAAAACCAGATATATAACTCTCAGCTTCGTCCAATTTTCCTTGAAGCACCATAATCTCAAAATGCTTAGCATCAAAGAAAATTCCTGTCTCTCGCTCAAGACTACACATAATCAATGAAAAAAATTAATATAAGGAAGAGATGATTAGAAAAATATAAGAGAAATACGAACCCAATATGTGTAATGGTTTTTATTTATTTTTATTTTTCTTGTGTGCGTGGGTGTCTAGTAGAAAGGAAAGAAAAACCTACGCATGAGCAGTGTCTTTGAGATCCTCGTCCCTAAGGAACTGTAGGATCATTGTCAGAAGATCTTTATGGACAGGATTCATGGTTGAACTTGCACCCATTGACATGATAGAAGGAGAAGATCTAACAATAAATAAATACATAAATCAGACCAGAATATATTAATAAATGGGTCTACAGACCACAATCAAGCCAAAAAAAAAAAAAAAATTTAATCGAACTGTTGTATATGAGTACGTCCATGTATGATAAAAACTTATACGATATTCAATAGCATCTCTAATATTAGATGCAAAAAAGATTATTGTCCATGTGACAAAGAATCCTACCCACAAAAAAAAAAAAAAAAAGAGAATGATGGGATGGGAACAAAGAAAAGAGCCAGAAAACAAAGAAGAGCTCTTCGAAGGCTCACCAAAAACAGAGAAGAAGCAAGAACCTTGAAACTATAACCAGACCTTAGAAAATTTTTTGTGGAAAAATATACTAGAGAAGCATCAATTTATATTAGTGGCCTATGCCGATGTGGGTTGGTGGAGATAAGCTAGTTGCCTTATATTCAAGTAGTCACTGTCCAAATAAAACCTCAGTGCTATTGGTGTGTCAATCTGTGCCTCCAAAGACTGACATAAATGGTTGGCATTTCAGAAAGAAAATTCCTCAACCATATCCCTGGCGTCTGACCAACACACTCTCGTATCTCAAAATCACAGCACCTACCCTGCGGTTCATCTGATGAAACATCGTGCAACCATGGTTTCACGAGCCTTCAACAGGTCTATGATTGAAAGGGCTATATCATTTTAATTTTACCTATAAAGCTCAAGTAATTCCTTTTTTTTTTTTTTTTTTTGTCTTGGGGGGGGGGGGGGGGGGTTAATGAATCTTGTGTTATATGATTAGTTGAATACAAGATATTTTAATGTAAATTTTAAATTTTGACTACTAAAATGTTTCTTTACGACAAAACTCGAGTAATCGATAAAGATTGGTTGACATTATAATATGAGGTTTTAAGCCATAAGTTCCAAATAAAGAGTAGTTATGATCAAATAATTTCTCGTAATCATGTAGTTAAAATTTACTTAAAATAAAAAAGTTGTGATATCTAAATATTTCATCGTATTATATTGAAAATATAGATCGAGTATGGTTTTTTTTGTTTTTAATTGGTATGATATCTCAATTTTACATCGAAAAGAAAGATAAGTGAAATTTATAAATAAACGTTTATGGTATTTCTACTAATAATGTGATACTTAAACTTTTAGATTGCATGAAAATATAGATCGATCTTGGTATATTTATTTAATGAGCTTGTAATTTTATTATTAGAGAAAAAAATTGCCTTCCCAAAAAGAGTTTACTGATAGTATATATTAGCTAACGTTCTCATACCGAAGTATGTTAAAGGATTATCTATCACCAAATAAAGATGGGGAAAAAATTATCAACAAACATATCAAAATCACTTAATTATCAATAAACACACGTACCTATAACGCTTCAACATAATCAATTGCTTAATTTATGTATTTGTGTTAATTATCAAATTGTATTCTCATGTTAACATTTATTTAGTTAATGACATATATTATCTAATTTTGTCTTATTTTAATTTTATCTAATGAGTGACTTTTATTAGATTTTTTTTTCTTTAAGTGCTCGTGTGGTATTTTTTTTTCCTAAAGCAATTCATTTGTTTTGAATTATTCTTTGATATGTGATATTGATAATTATTCAACCATTTTGTATCATTAGATTCTATAAAGCGAGCGATTCCATCTCAACAATTTTGATTTCGTTCGATCATTTGATTGTACCGTAAATGGATAGTACATAATATATTATGTTTTTAAGTTCTTTTGATATATCTGCCATGCACCATTAACTTAACTATGACATAATCACATTCATTAGAATTTAGACGAAAATGGATCTCTTGTGCATTTGAAACGATTTAATATAAAAAATGGTTTCTTATGATTCTAAAAAACGATTTGAATATGTGTTTGAATAAGCGTTTTACTTAAAGTTTGATTTCTGTCTATGGATTTAATTCTTAGTTTAATTTAGATTTTTTTTATTTATTTGTATAATTTTAGTAAGTATTTAATTTTTAATTTTTAACATGAATTTGTATTTGAGTTTAAATTGTGAGTATGAGATTCGATATTGAATTGCATTATCAAATCTAATTTTAAGCATGAATTGTATTCTATATGTTGGATTTTGATACTTTTGGAATATGTATAAGTTTATATAATTTTTAATTTGATCAGTTATATTGGAATATCTAGCTACGAGGGGTATAGATAGTGAGCTCACCGATACAAAAAACAAATCATCATTCAAGAGAAATTTTATAGTACTTAAATTGTACTAATACTTACTTTATAAATAAAATAGATATAAAAAAAAGAGAGAAATACAAAAGAAAATTAAAAATAAATAAATTTAAATAAAAATATTTATTTTTTTGTTTGTAAGGACTGGTCGAGTATTTTAAGCTTTGAGTCAATCATCTTTCTGGAGTGTGTATAACTATTCACCATGGCGCGTGGAGAAAGCATATCCTATCACTGTTTGGTGAAAGTGACAGCTTCCGTTCTCCACAGGTGCCAGCCTTAGTGGGGTCCACGCGTTGTTTGACACGTGGAACCTTCTGTCTCACGTGTTCATGTAAAGCAACGTATCAAGTGGCGTAGTCCATTTACATACAGCAAATCTAATTCCCGGATCAAGATCTTTGCTGTCTTTAGGCATGGATTTAATAAGATTTAGTGAAGCTTTGGCGTAGGTGGTAAGAGAATCCGAAACTTAAATTTTTGGATAAAGATGGAAATTTTATATAGCTGTTGAAATCTTCCATGGCCCGACTAAAATTGCAAAAAAATTTACTCGATTTTAATAGACGAGAAAAACTTGCAAATTTATTGAGGAGTGTTTAAACGTCATCATTTCAAGGGATAACTACATTATCTACTTAACATATAGAAAACTTTTTTATAGATATGATGTACATTGTCCATGATACCAGTAATGGATTCACGTACGTATTTGTAATGACCATATATATTCACAACACATACATAAATATGAAAAAAAATTATATTTTTCAAAAAATAACTAACAATACTTATTGGTTTATTGTAACAAAAAAAAAAACACACAATCTTCATACTTTTTAATTATGTTAACATGTTCTTTTAATATTAGTCATAAAATACATACATCAAACTTATGTTAATCATATTAGCGCGTATGACTTTTTCCGATCGAATTCTAATAACAACTAACATGGTAATAAATTTTAATTAGTCATTGCTATTAACATTTTATCCTCGCCATGTCATATGTTAACGAAATTTTGGTCGAAAAAATCATGTGTGCTAATATAATTAACGAAGTATAATTTATGCATTTTCGATCCAAAATTAAAAGAACATGCTAAAATAATTAAAAAGGATAAAATTTGTGTTTTTTTAATACAATAAGCCATACTTATTTCATATGAGAGACATAAGTATAAAAACTAAAAGAGAAATAAAAAAGAGAATTAAAAAAAAATGAAGTTAGGTAGAAATATTTTTATCATTTTAATGGATTCGCATGTGATTTTTTTCTCGTTTTTATGTTTATTTATCTCTACAAAGTGAACCCATAAAGTAAATATTAGAAATTACTCATTAAATATTTTTAAAAATCTCAAAACACATGTTTCTATAATTTTATTTATTTATTTATTTTTAATCATAAAGATATCTTCGCACTTCTATCAATATCTAGCTCTTCAACCCATCAATTCTCACATACTAAAACTAAGTCTTTATTTAGTGGGTTTTTAAATAGATCATCTACACTTGGATTAGTGTATTCATAAAATTAATTTTATTGTTGTATTCTTTAAAATTCAAACTCTCTAAATGATAATTGAGAAAGAAATCTACTAGTTACAAGCTAGACTAAACATATAAAAGATGGGTTTAGAGTTTTTAATCAAAATTTTAGTGGTATGATGTTTTTTTTTCTTGTATAAAGATATTTTTTCTTGAAATATTATTATTATTACTCTATTACCATCACTACTTTTCTTCAACAGGCACCTCCCATAATGTTGGCATTTATTTAAAGAAATTTATATATTATTATTACTCGTTACCATCACATTTTTCTCCTCTTCCACTATTACTATCACTATCTTTACAATCATCTTTATTGTTTTTACTACTATTATCACTGATGAAAACATTATTTTAATATTTTTTATTTTTATTTTAAAAAATCGAGACATTAAAAATTTTAAATTTTAAATTAATTTTTTATTACTATTTCAAATACATAATTATAATTAAAATATTATTTTTATTCCATATCTTTCATTTTTCGTAATTAAACCGCACTCCAAGGCAACACAATTTTCCAATCATTGATTTAATGATTTCTCTCAATTTAAGATTCAATAGAACAACTTTCCTTCCAAACCCATATGCTTTCCGATCAAATTTTAGCTTCCATTTACATCGAGTTTCAATTTCTGGATCAAGCCCACAGTCTTCTACTTCAATCCTAGGCCTTACAACCCTATTATGGGCCGATAAACTAGCCCATAGTCTAGACACTATTTTCAACCGTCAGCTGGAGTCGAAATAGATAAATCTATCTTCTTCTTTTTTTTTTTAATAACACAAAATTTCAAATCTTAAAAAAAAAAATGGTGCATAAAAACTATATAGCAAGACAAGATTAACTTTCACATTTATTTATTTTTATTCAAGGATAAAGGTCGTTGATATGGGCCAAGTATTGATCCAAATTAAATCTTTTTTTGAACTATTTTAAAAAAATATCTTTCACATTAGTCTATTGAATGTATTTCAAATTAATTTAATAAATTTTACTAAATTCTGATTTGAAAATTTAAATTTAAAAAATAAAAAAAGAGAATAAATCTCCTTCACCAACGAGCCAACCTCTTGGAACTATATAGATTTGAAGATGAGCGTGACAATAAGATTTAAAGTATAAAATTTTATGAGCATGAACTAAACTCCTAGGAATTTAATTCCAAATTTCTTATTTATTTTTCACACCTAAATGG